ATACATATATCTACTTGGATGTCATTTATGGTCTCTTTAGGGTATATTCCCAGTAGTGGAATTGCTGGGTCAAATGGTATCTTTATTTGCAACTTTTTCTGCATTTTCAACGTCGGGCCTCAGACAAGAGAGAACAACTGTACTAAGCCTGGTGGTGCGGGGCATTGTGCACTGACAGCTAACTGAAAGCTTGGCGGTTCCTCCAGCCCTTGGATAGGGGAGGGGCTCTTCTCTTTTAACGTTTAGTCTCCACGGCCCTGACCCTGACAGAGGGTGGCCCTGAGTCACAGTGCAATTTGTTTCTGTTTACTTGGCTTTCTCGATTTTTTGGAAACCCTCTGAAGAAACGCGCGACAGTCGCTCTAAAAGCCCTGCATTGGTGGCTGGCTGAGATGAGGCCCACAGCTTATTCTTTATCTAGTTCTCTGGGGCTGGAGGGTGCCTGTGGGGCAGAGGTGGGACATTGTCCCAGAGGGACAGACAGACCTGCAAGGGAGTCTGTGAGGAAGGAGCTGGAGAAACCACTGGGGGAGGAAGACCCCCGGTGGTCCCTGGGCATGGCGTGGGAAAGGCGCAGTGGGAGGTGCCAGGGGTTGGGACTTGCTCTTGGGACTCAGGGGGAAGTCATTGAAGTTTGTACTTGGCTGCATTGCTGGTTAAAAGCACAAAGCAAGAACAATGCAGAGAGGTTGCAGACACCCAAGCAACAGAAAGAAGGCTGTCTGGAGGCCTAAGACAGTACCCAGAAGTGGGACTCTTCCTGGGGAAGAAAGAGGGCAGAGAGGCCCCAGATGAGCAGAGGTGGAGAGGCCAGAGGTGGCCCAGGAGGTGGCCTCTGGGGCCCGCCATCCCCTCTCCAGCCGCCCTGACCATTAGTGGGCACCAGCGAGCGTGGCGGGTTCAGCCGAGTCAGGCCTGGGTCTGTTGCGTCCGAAGGGGGAGGGACAGGGCGGGCCCGGCCTTGCTGAGTCCTGTCCCAGGAATGTGGCCTTTGGCTGGTCCCCTGGCCTCATTCCACGGGCGCTGGAATGTGAACGGGGCGTTCACTGTGTGCCCTCGGTTCCCCTCCGGGCACAGGACGCCAGGCAGTGCTCCCGCCGCCCGCCGGACCGGGCTGGGCACTGGGGGCTTAGAACCCAGGGGGACATAGGGGGGTGTGGGGGCTATTAGGACCTAGCCGGGCAAGGGGGGAGGTTAACTGGGGGGACTGTTAGGACCCAGCTGGACACGGGGAATGGGTTTGGGGGCCTGTTAGAATCTGACTGGACACAGGGCCCTGGGGGAGTCTGTTAGGACCCAGCCGGACACGGGGTGGAGTTTGGCTGTTAGAACCAAACTGAACACAGTAGGGGGTGTGGGAGGAGGTTAAGACCCAGTAAGACATGGAGTGGAGCTTGGGGGGCTGTTCGGACCCAGTTGGACACAAGGGATGGAAGTGGGGGGGCTGTGAGGACCTAACAGAAAGCTGGGGCTGTTAGTCGGGCAGGGACTCCCAGCAGGGCAAGCGTATCTGAAACCAACATGGGTCTGGTGGTTGTTTTTTGTGCCACGGAGGGCAAACCATCTCATAGCTGACCGTCCAGTGGGTTTTCACATCCTGTGGGAGGACACTGCCCATCTTTCTCCTGTGGAGCCGCTGGTGGAATTGAACTGCTTACCTTTGAGACTGCAGGGCAGCCTCTTACCACTAGGCCACCAGAGCTCCCTGGATCTATTTAGGCACTGAGAAATCCCAGCCAATAGCTGGAGAAGGAGGGAGCTTCTAGTGGTCTAGTGGGTAAGGAGCTGTGCTGTCAACCTTAAGGCAAGCAGTTCAAATCCGTCAGCTGCTCTGAGGGAGAAAGATGGGCAATCTCTTCCTGTCCAGTGATTTACTGCCTCTGAAAACCCACTGGAGAGTCAGCTATGCATGCGTTCTGACTTCAATAGCACAATAACAACCACCACCTCTTCCCACTAGCCCCAAAGGGCACAGGCATCTGTCCCTAAGATCTGCCCATCTCCAGAGTGAGTGGCCTGGTGAGAAGATGGGAAAAGCAGATGATCCACTTTGAGATTAAATTTCTGACTCTACCACTCACCCCACTCCCCTCTCCTTCACCCCTGAGGTAGTCACTGAATACCCAGGAGTAAACATTTTAATTTCTTAACAAATGTTTATTGAGCATCTGTTCTGTGCCAGGTGCTAAACAGAATTCTGGGGCACAGAAGAGAAACATGCCTTCCCTGTCCTGGGAACACGTATTCTGATCCTGGAGAAAGTCACACAAACAGCCAGGAAGAGACAGGAGGCCATGGGTTCTGGGCACACCAAGGGATCTTACAGACTGGATGTGGAAGTCCAGGAGGGCTTCCTGGGGGAAGCAGAAAAGAGACCTGTATAGGCCAGTGGGAGTTGACATGACAGAAGAGGAAAGATTAGCCTCGATGGAGGACACTTTTTTTTTTTTTAAGTTTATTTTATTTCATTATTTTTTGTGTCTACCGTCAAATCAGATCTGACTGGTACAGGAGGAGATTGTTCCTCCTTCTCCAGCAGAGCATCTGGTGGATTCGAACCATGCATCTCTGAGATTGCAGATGCAGCTTCTTGCCACTAGGCCACCAGAGCTCGCCGATGGAGGACACTTTGTTTTAGAGACTCAGAGGAGGCCATAAGATATGAACACTAACAAATGAATGGATAGAGAAGTAGTGGTATATCCAATGAAATACTATGCTGCGTTGAAAAATAAGGACCTCATGAAATATTATTCAAAATCGGTGACCCTGGAGGACATTATGCTGAGTGAAATATCTCAGTCACAAAAGGACAAATACTGCATAGTGCCACTGTTGTAAAAAGGGACTGACCTCAGAGTTGGAGGGAAACTAAAAAAAGAGGGGATAAATAATGTATACTGTGTTGAAACAGATGAGGGAGAGAACTGTTTAAAAAGAATATATCATTAGCTATTATTTTCATGACAAGATTCCAGAAAAAGAAATGCATAGTAAAGTGGACTATCGGGATGGGATGGGATTGAATAACAATGAAAGAATTTTTTTTTTTCTTCAGAGAGAAAAAGGGACTGTGGGTAGGGGTGAGCAGGGAGGAAAAGGTGCAACAATGAATGAATGGGGGGGAAAGTAAATGGAAAGAATATGCTGTAAATATATATATTGCATTAAAAAAACATTAATACAAAAATTTTAAAAAATCTGAACACCAATCCTTCAGCCCTGCCTCTTCACTAGTGCCAGCCAGCCAGACAGACAGCTGAATCATAGCAGGGAGACTGCAGCAAGCATCAGAATATCCAGTCAGTTGTCTGCATGATGAGTTTGTTCACAGAGCCATTATTCTGCAGGTAAGAACACCAGGCAGTGTTGTCCCTAGCATATTGCTAGTGGAAAGATTGAGCTGTTAGCTGCTGCAAGAGAGAGATAAGGAATAAGGCAATAAGGTAAGATTGACTGTTGTCTATTGACAATTCACAGCCTGGTGTTTTCCTTCATGCCCTGCATCAGGCTGTTCAGGGCTTCTGCCGGATGAACTCCTTCCACCAGATCCATGGGACGGTGTCCACCACATGCTGCTTTGTCTCTGTGGTCTCCTTTTCCGCTCCCTCAGGGAATGGTGGGCAAGAAGCTGTCGTACTGCCTGGGCAGAGCGGTCACCGACAGCAGAAGCCCCCTCAGCCAGCTAGCTGAGGTGTTGCGTGACCTCCGGGCTGCTCTCAGAGATTGACTGACCTGCAGGATGGTCAGCCTGGTGGTAGCCAAGTTCATGGACTCCCTCGACACCATCCCAGGGAGATGTGACACCGAGAGGCCCATCTTTTTTAAAACAAGTTTATTAATTTTAATGAAAGTTTATAGAGACTTCGGATTTCCAGTCATTTATTGTTGCACTTTTTCCCCCTTCCCCCTGCCCCCAAATCACTCTTCTCCTTGAAAAGAAAAACTTTCATTGTTATGCAATCCCTCCCCTCCCCAAGTTCACTCCACTATGCAGCCTTCATTCTGGACTCTAATGTCAAGAATACCCATTCATATGTCCCTTTTAAACAGATCCTCATCTGTTTCAATGCAGTATACATTATTCCCCCCCTCCTTTTCTGTCTTCTCTCAACCCTGCTGTCAGTCCCGTTTTACAACAGTGGCCCTATGCCTGTCTTAGTGCATACACATTTCAGCTTCTCCACCTGTCTGAATTCGTCAATCATGAAGTTCATCCACTCCGTGGCATCCAGGGACTCAGGCTTGGCTTGTCCTTTCTCACCTGCACTATTTCTCATCTTTCTTTGGAAGTTCACCAGCTCCTTCAAGACAGTGTCTTCTGGGCACATCTGGAATACAGAAGACCCCTTGAGGACATCTCTTAGGACTAAGATGTCTAGTGATTAAAGTCAACAGAGCTACAGAGACTCAATTCTGGTGTGACGACTCATAGCCCAGACCCTTCAGTAACGATTTGGCTCACACCAGGCAACGAACTATTGCAGACCGAGGGTAAAGTAATTTTATAATTATTAATAATGAGACAGACAGCCAGGAATGAGATAGAACAGAGAGCATAAAACAGGAGGCCAGCAGTTCTCAACTGAAGACCCCAAGTCATATTTCTCTGTGTATTTCTTGACAATCAGGGGAAGTAAATAATAAAAGGAATTCCTTGTAAATGAAGGCGAATTTTTCTCTATTGTCAACCTAATGCTCTAGCTCAGGAAGTATTTCACAGGTAGTAACACTCCCTCTGTAGGGGGCCCCCAGCTGTCTCCTGTCTGCAGGGAACAAACAGCTCATTTTCTGGGATCTGCCACAAGAGAAATCCTAACTGATAAATCTGTAATTCCTTCAACTCCTGAACAAGGGTTTTCATATAATGTTTGGTATAAAGTTTGGCTTCCCATTGCTGAAGACAGTGGGAATACAGAATGAGCAGTGCAAGATAGTAGTTCTAAGTACCAGCTGTTAGCGTATGAGCCTTTGCAAAAACGAGGGCTGTATTGGTTTATAATTTTTTTTTAAATAAAATTGACAGTTCAGAAACCTGAAAGGGGGTGACTGTGAATCGGAACCCATCAGGCACTGGTGGATTTGGGTGGGTTTGGGGGATGGAGGGTAGTTAATTTTACAACAGGTGAGCCTGTGAGCGACAACTAGGGCCATAACTCAGCTCGCTGCTTTAGCAAATCTGTGGGGACCCAGAGACAAGTCCCTGAAAGCGCCTGCCATGGTGCCCAGCCCCCAGTAGGTGCTCTGTAAAGATTAGCTGGTGTTAGGTACCTTGCCTGATTCCCACCTCTTCCCCTTCAAAGTAGCTAAGTCAGCTTCTTTAAAGGGCAGTTACATACCCCTTGTCTTTTTTTGAAATTATTTTTTGTGTGTGTACTGTCAAATTGGATCTGCCTGGTACAGGAAGAGATTGTTCCTCCTTCAGCAGAGCATCTGGTAGATTCGAACTGAGTGCCTCTGGGATTGCAGTGCAGCTTCTTGACACTAGGCCACCAGAGCTCCCCTACCCCTTGTCTATTTTATTTTGTTTTGTTTTATTTTATTTTATTTTATATTTTC